AAAAGGAACCTACCGTCTTTGTCACGGCTTCACTGTCAAAAATGTTGCTTCGTTCTCAATAACTACACTTCAAATACCTTTTTAGTTGGCATCCAGCCAGAATTCTGTAGAGTAAGGCTAATGTAAAAAGAATTTTAGTAACCTATTTGTAAACTAATTAGAATACTAGTCCAGGCCACGCGTGGCCACAGGCTCATTGCCGCCGGACACATACCCAAATATAGCACAAATGAACCAATTACCCCGTCTGGAAAACGCCAGCCCGATTACCCAGCCCAGTGTGCCGCAGCTTCCTCGTGCCGTAATGAGGCGCCACGTTCTCGTTATCGGGAGAAAATGAGTCGCGGCCGGGGGCAAATTCGTCCTCCGCACTGGTGTCTAATGTAACGTGCTGCGCTCTCCGGGGAGCTGAGCACCCAGCCTTTACTACGCGATACAAAATGAGCCTTTATATTCCTTGATGGAACGCTTACACATTTATGCCGAACTTCGGTTTGTTTCTAGAGAGACGGGTATGTTGGACCAAGTTGTGAATGCAACAGTTGGGAAAAATAGCTGTATTACATCACACCATGAGCGAACGAACATGTGAAAGTGACTGAAAGGTGTAACCAAATTCACACGACACCGCCACCTAACAGATCTCCGACCGGTCCTACCAATGCATAGGCGCGCCTGCAGTCGACCGGAAGGCGGTAACGCCACCTTTCCTGAAATTAATCTCGAATGCGAGGCGCTCTGGCTTAGATCAAGAGATACTGAACCATGAGCACCAGACAGACGCGCAGTCATGGTCATTGTGCCCATTAATACATCGAACAAAACAATAGCGTACTTCCAAATGCCGTGGATATTGCCAACACTAAATCATCACGCGTCCATGGTTTTCGTCAGTTACAATTGCCAGACCAGGCCCGGCTAATGCCGAACCAATTTTCAATTTCTTTGCTCGTCGCATGTCATAAAAGGCATGGTATTTGAGCTAAATTGGCTTAGCGTTGGCCAATGGCCATGTGCCGAGTCGTGGATTGGGGACAACCGGACTGGCATTTTGCGGCCCCGTCACGGTGTGCATGGGTTAGTGCGATGTTTGGGCTACGTAAGTCATGGCGCAACCTCCAATTATGATTACGTAATGGTCTCGTTATTGAAGACCCATCTGGCAGCTACAACAGCCATGAATGTAGCCTTCTCAGACTGTCTCCGTGGGCCTGCAGATGCGCACCGCAATATATCACCGGCCTTAGATCGTGGCGCTCGTAGCTACCACGTGGCCAGTGGCCGGCGGCATTTCGCTCGCGGTTTACTTTACGACGGTATCGACCAGACCAGACGGGCGACTGCGGTGAGTGTTCCTCAGTCACCGCTATCTCGGTGCCGGTCGGGCAAACCGTGCGGAACAAAGTCCTCAAATAAAGAGGTGAGTTGGGTGACTCCTCGCCGAGATGATGTGAGTGCGTTCATTACACTTACTGAGCCCGAATTCCTTCAGCCTTCCCCCCCCCCCCACATGAATGGGTTTCAGCTGACATGCTGATCTCTGGGGGGAGGGGGGGGGGAGAGCGTCAACACGTCACTTGAAGGGTCTCTGAGCGTAACACACCCCACTGAGCCCCACTTCCTGTCTACATGTTCTCTGAAATTCAGCATGCCCTTAGATGATTGTGAAAAAAGTATTTCTGGCCCTGGATCGATCCCTGTTGCGTATCTGGAGTGAAATGATGTGCAAACAAATAAACAACATGGACACTTTTGGGAATCTTTAGTACGCAGTTAGTTAAACCGTTCAAGCGTGTGCCCACGGCGTAGGGTTATACTGGTAACAGACTGCTTCCAATATCAAACTGCCATTGGAATAGATATTTCCGTGAATTTATCAACTTTCAACCTAATGTGTCGCACATTGGCAACCATGGTACGGCAAGGATACACGACAGCGCTAGAGACGTGTTATGCGCGAATTCAACTTCCGCTCGCCCCGAAGGTGAAGAGATGAATCCAAGCCCATACTCAACTCATTGCTAATCCTTCTTTCAGGTGGAGGAAAAGGGGAGGGGAAATGGAACCTCTGGAATGTCCAAAAACCATAAGGTGCAACATCCTGAAGCAAGGTAGCGTTTCTGGAACATACATTTCACTTTAGCCATCACAGTTTGAGCTCCCCGTTAATTAAAGAGAGTATTCCAAGCAGCATTTTGTGGTTCTGTTTCCGTGCAATTCCTTTAATTATACCAACATTTTCGAAGTAAGACTGATCACGTTTAGTGCGATATAAAATGCGTGTGAACTGTCAGGGCAGTTATATTGCAAAACCCCGTTTTTGGTACTTACGGTAATTTCTAGAAAAGCAGCAGTACAGAAGAGTTCGGGTAGTTATCTTACCATGCTACCTAAGCAAAGTTACCTGCGTTCGATGGACACTGTACGCATTTTGTAGTAATGGCTGCTAGAAGGCGACATTAAAACAATGCAAGCAATTTTACCCCGTGAGCATATATGCAAGGCTGCACATACATGGACGGGACCGGGCAATTACGGCGGGTGGCCGAAACGGAAAAACATGAGAACTGCAGCCGTCGAGCAATAAGATAAGGTAAAACCTCATCTTGACCGCGAGGAGGGGCGCAGCCAGGGATGAAGAAGAGTGGGAGGCGCAGCCAGTGGTGGGGAGCGAGAGGCCCGTCCCTCAGGGCCGCCACTTAAGGCCCTCATTTTTCTTTCTTCACCACAGATGGCTGCTGACAAAAAGCAAAAAATTGGTGTAATCCGTTTGTACCGAACCTTCCCCGTGTAGAAAATCTTGGATGCGTCCCTCATTGTGAACATTGTGTATATTGACCGCAATAGTATTTCATAGAAGTACGATGCGCATAAGGCGGACTGTGCTGGGCAGTTTAGCCACGGTTTTATCGAGTAGAACAAGGCATATTCAATAACTTATGGTAAAATATTGCGCCAACATATCGTTCATTATAATTTTGTACTTAAACGGAAAACAAATGAAGAACGTTTGCGGTTCCCTCCGTCCATATAGGGCCCACAGCTATTGGTGGACATCGATCCTGTCGGACGGTAATTTGTGCATTCCAACTTGGGCTGGCAGCCGTGACAGGCATTATTAGAAAACCAAAGTGCTGGTTAACGACAAATTCAGCATCTAATATGGGTGGCGACCAGGGCACAAGGTGCCACCATTTTACCGAAAGCAAAGCTTGATGCTGGAAAATTCCTGCCTTACCTTAGCCTCTTCGTACATGGACATTGCGCTATTTCGTCTCACTTGGATCTGCCCTTGCACCAACCCTCTCTGTGTCATGAGTTGTCATGCACTTTGGGAGCCGAGTAACAGAGACTAAATTCTGGGCGCACTCTTATCGCAATCTGTAGCTTAGAGGGAGTGATTCACATTTGAAAATATTAAAGTAACTATGAAATTCGATGAAACAAGCTCAATTATAGCTGTTGGTGTGCTTTTAAGTAGAAAAGACCGCTCTTGGCAGCATAATTCTCTGTTTAGTTTATATGCCCCTCAATGTGTCATGATTCGAGTACGTCATCGTACCTTGCACAACCTTGATTGAGAGCCCTTTGACGGCCATTTTATCTGGAAATCGCGCTCATGAACGCCAGGTGTGAAGGCCTCGACAATAATATTTTTCTTTGCCTCAATCACCGCACGGCTTATGGAATGACGGGATTTGAATGACGCTATTGTGACGTCATGAACACCAAGGTGACTTCGGAATACTCTTCTCGTCCCGATATACCTTTCCCATTTTCGCGGGTGCATGGTTCAGAAACTAGAGGGGCTTGCGTCTTACGAAGGCCTTTTAAATGTGGTTTTTCATAGCAGCCTTTCAGTGATGTAAAACAGAGCTGGACAGGGCAGCTGGCTAGAAAACATATCGCTTAACTCGCGCAAACATTTTTAATGAGGCTTCCACAGATCGCACAACGCTCCAAAGCTTCTTATCAGTTACTTGATATGCTCCCCAAACTTGCTGAACAAAGGCAGAGTGGGGAGGAACTGTCGTGGAGGAATTCTTGTACCAATTTTCGGTGTGCTACGGGTCTCATTATGCCCATAGCTACAATATAACGTTATACGCAACATTTCAACATGACACTACATGCCTCCCACAACGTAAGATACGCGAAGTTAGGTGACAGAACCGTCAAGGGTAATGCAATTCAAAACCATGAACTTTTCACCGCACTTCATTTCGTATGGTCTAGATTTTCAGCAGCGCGTCCCAATCCAAGCGTTGCAATCGCCAGCGGCAGCTGCGCGGGGCCCGGCTGCCCCCACCGCGGTCTGCGGAGCTCTGGCCAGCTTCAGCAGCCCGGGGCAGGCCAGACGCGCCGGCTACCTCTGTAATGTACGAGTGTCATATTCCCGCAGCTGCTCGAGACATCACAGCACAGCGCCGCAGCCGTGTGGTATATTAGCGCTCGGGCGCCGCAGCCATGTATTAAGGCGCAGCCGTGTGCGCGCTGCAGCAGCCGGACAGCGCCGGACAGCATCGCAGACGGCCGGGCAGCGCCGGACAATCCCGCAGGCAGCCGGACAGCGACGGACAGCACCGCAGACAGCGCCGCAGACAGCCGGACAGCGCCGCAGCCGTGTGTTATATTACCGCTCGGGCACCGCAGTCATGTATTAAGGCGCAGCCGTGTGCACGCTGCAGCAGCCGGACAGCGCCGGACAGCACCGCAGACAACCGGGCAGCGTCGGACAATGCCGCAGACAGCCGGACAGTGCCGGACAGCACTACAAACAGCCGGACAGCGCCGGACAGCGCCGCAGACAGCCGGACACGCCGCAGACCGGCGGACAGCGCCGCAGCCATAGGTTACACTAGCGCTTACGCGGAGAACAATCGTGATTTCTGGTGCGCCCTTCCCAATGGGCCAGCGCCACGCGATTAGTGCCACCCCAGCACAGTATGTCGAGGTGATCTGCTCGCGCCGCCTGACCGCTCGCGACCCGTGCGTTTCAGGTGACCTGCATCCTGATGCCGCTGGAGGTCGGCTGGTCGGCAACAGTCCAGTGGCTGGGCGGCGAGCTGCTCTGTCGCCTGCTGGCCTTCTTGAAGGTGTTCGGCCTCTACCTGTCCAACTTTGTCCTGGTCTGCATCAGCATCGACCGGTTAGTGCGCTCTGCGTACCAGACTGCGTCGGTGATGCTTCGGTGCGCTGAGTCGATGACCATCGGGTGCTCCTCTCGATGCTCCCTTCTTCTGACCCACGTGCTCCTCTCGGTGCTCCCCACTTTTCACCCGGACGCTCCTCTCTGTGTTCCGTATTTGCATAGCTCATGGTCGTGGATATCGGCTTTTAACCAGACGTCGCCTAAATGTCACTAATTCCTAAAGTCTGTTTGTCTTCTTCTTTTTCTCGTCCCATCACTATTGCAGCATTTGGCAACGACGCCAGGTTCACACGTAGTTTATGCGCGAGTAGTTAGAGTAGGCATTACTCTATATGAGCTCGTTTGTGGCAATTTCTTCGGTCACTATGCTGTAACTTTGCAGTCAAATGAAGTCAAGCAAGTTAGGACTTGGGACCGCTACGTTTTCTAAGGAAAGGATCGCGCGTGATCATGTCTGGTCTTAAGGAGGTCGAGATCATCAAACAATTGTGAGATTATCTTGATAGTTGCACTAAAAATAAGAGTCAAAACTACCCCAGGCGGCAAAATTCTCCAAGGGGGCGATGAAGGTCAATTAAGTAAGTGACCTTTCCTGAACTCAAAGCAAGATGTCCGGCGACGTCCTCGTGGTCACGCAACTTGAAGTGAGTGGTCCAAAGCTAACCATTAACGCAATTTTCAAGAAAAATGTCCAGTTTTGACATTGATCTGATGTTTAGGTTTGGTCTGGTTTGATTTAGATGACCCGACTTGGGAAAAGCCACCAAAAATAATACCATTGGAATTCAAGGTGGTACAGATAGTTCAGTAGAAAACCTCTTTGGATGGTATTTTTTGCGAGGAATAGGCGTTATTTGTCACTCTTGAGCAACATGTATCTGGCATGACCTTGAAAATGTGATAAAGGATCATCAGCCGTCAAGGTCAGAGGCTTCAAATTGTCATATCATGTAGAGCAATATGAACCCAGCTGTCATCGATCCTAGCACCGCGCTCAAAACTGCTCCGACAGTTCTTACGGAAAACCCTTAATAGGCGGCGTCCGTGGCCCCCTCGTATGGGGGAGGGAGGGGGAGAGGGGGGGGGGCATATCGAGCAGGACGCGTAGAACACTGTGAAGCTGGTAGAAAGTATGTGAGCCTGCTCATGGCTTGACATATGTGTAATACGATATGCAGTTAATTCAGCGAGCCATCTTGTTAAAAACATTAGGCTTGTGTTGGAGTGGCAGGGCCCTTTATTGGACTTGGAGCTGGCTGGTAGCCACGTCTAGCACACCCCTGTGCGTCATTTGTATACGACCTCTCCCGTCATGAAAACATTACATGGTCTACAGGGAATTCTGGACAGTGACTGTTGCCACCGCTATCGGCGTGTTCCGTTTGACTTTACGTGACTGACATGCTGAGCACATGGACGTGGGGGCTCAAAGCGACTTTAATGGGAGATGAACGGTCCGTGTGACGCGCATCAATGAATTGGATGGTTTGACGTGACTGTGGCATTCTGAAGAGGGTCGCGCGTTGCAGCAATATGCAAGCGACAGGCATCCAGAGTTCGCTTGGGATGCATTGTTGCGAGACAAATTCCTTGACTCCATGTCATGTGGAGACCGATTTCGTCCCTTTTTTCCATCTTACCGGCAAACGTTCAGCTAGAGCGACGACACGTGAGAGCACTTCCTGGCCATGAATCGGACAAATTCGGACAAACTTTTGCACGTTCTTTATCGTCCACTGGTGGCTCCAAGCCCGATTTATGGAACCCCTTGCATGGTCAGGACAAATCACGGCCCTCACAGAGCATACAATCACATGGCGCCTTCTATTGCTACAAGACAATGTTTGTCATGATTTGGTATCGTCAGATACACTACGAATCAACATAAAGCATGTGTTGGAGACTGGACTGCCATAGCCGGCTGCACAGGATATGCCAGCAAGACAGCGCCGCGACGAACATACGCTGGTTTCGATGCTGAAATCAGTGTATGTTTACTCGCATGCTAGCTGTTAACTAGACATGCATATTGTACGACATGCATTCGATAATGAATGCGCAAATACTGCCAAGGCCGATAGATGGGGTGACAAGGGCAGATCCAGAGAAATGCACAAGGGGCCCGATAGCTCATTTGTCCTATCTGGGCAATTTCGAACCGGTTGTTTATTGACCAGGAGCTGGTCATGACGTGTTAGCAGAGATTAGATCATGCAGGGGCAATGTGCCAGATCACAGGGCACCAAGCCGATGCTCCAAAAGTGGAGATGTCGAGATGTCTGGTAGAGCAACAGTTGTCATTATTTGCATGAATTTCAACGCCACACCCAGCAGCATTTGACCCTTCAAACTTCCTTTATCCTACAGCTGCAACTGAGCCAGAATGTTGAGAGAGAGAGGTATAAGCACAATTTGGGGAATGTGAATCCGTGCTTTTTTATGTAACAGTTTTTTTTCTCGGCATCTACAGTTTGCGTTATCCCGTTTTATTGATGTTTGACGTTTCTCTGATGACGAATCCAAGGCGTCTTTTATGTGACCATTTTGCCTTAATTTAGCCCGAATATCAAAGTCCAAGAAAATCCAGCGCGTTCCATGCTCATGTTCAAATCTATTTCACTTTTTGCCAACCTGATACCTCACATAACGTTTTTTGAAAGTTTGGACTTCAAAGCAAGGTCAGTTCATCTTCCAGATTTTGCCTTATAAATGATCCAATGGGCCCCGAGATCCCAAAGGAATGAGGACAAAACGGCCCTCTCCCTTCTTGCTAAACTGAGAATTCACATGAAGTTTTTAGAAAGCACTAACATAGGAATTAAGTCACGAGACATTACTGTCAGTCTCATTCGCTGTGCATAACCAGGGGAAAGAAGAGACAAATGCATACATATTTCGGTTAGATGCCTTTATGGAAAGGAATATAAGCAGCATTTTCAAAATTATTGCAGTCCATTGATTTTGAATTTAGTATTCATGCTTGTTTTGATAAAGGAATGTTGCCGATAGATCGAATACACCTGTCTTTCATTCCTCCTGTTTATTCGAGGAAGAATAAGGCTAACAGTCCTGTCTTATTTATGTGCACACTGTTCCTGACAAGTGCAATTAGGGGCTTACGTAATTTCAAAACAAAGTCGGCCCACGTCCAAGATTTCGCCTCTAAGATGATCCGATGGGTTCCGAGATCCCGAGAGGAGGTGCAAAACAGCCACCCAATTAGAATTTGGAAAAAGTCTGTCCATGAAAAGAGGGTAAACGGTAACGATATGTGGTGCAGGCGAAACGGTATAATGGAAAATCTGTTTCTAATAGAGTGCATGTCATAGTGGTAGCAAATGTTCGGTTGCTCTTCGCCCTCTATCATTGGAGGGGAATCCATGCGTAGTAAAGGGGCAGGCAGTTTGTGTTTTTGGAGTGTGAATGGTGTTTTCTTGAGCAATGAAACGGGGACTGGTGACATCGCGCCAAAATCATCGTTTTGTTTATAAACAAACTCAATATTTACTGCTGATTTTGAGTCTCTTATACCATCACGGTTTCCCTGATTATGCTGCCAACTGTGCAATATCTAAACTTCTTCTCGAAGGTGGCATGTTTAATCCAGGAGTGTATCAGATTTGACCGGTGCCGAGTGCTCGAGCGACGCTACCTTATTCTCATATTCCCATCTCAGGTATCGTGAGTTCGCACAGTGACTGGTGCAGGCCCGCGGCACTTCAGCTAATGTGACGTCAACCGCTTACTCTGTGACCGATGACGTCAGGTACTGTGCCGTGGTCCGGCCGATGGCGCTGCTTGGCACGGCCAACCGCTGCAAGCGCACGCTCTCCGCCGCCTGGCTCCTCTCGGCCGTCTGCAGCTTTCCTCAGGTGAGAGCTGTCTTGCAGGCCAGCTATCCTCTCATCACGTTGCAGCCTCGCCCGGTCAGTAACGGCCCCAGTGCAGGGATAAAAGCAGGGCAGAGTTGATTAGATTAGAGTATGGAAACGCTCAAGAGCAGGGGAGAGTAGCAGATGGGTAAGGAGGTAAGGAGAACGCACTCCTCCCATGCAGGAGAGAGCCCAGAATCTGGGCGGAGCAGTGGCCCAAACTCTGGTCAGAGGAGGCGCGTCTTTGCGTCTTCGAGCTCCAAAGGATAGGTTTAGCAGGGGTGAAGCGGAAGGAGAAAAACAGGAGATAGCTGAAGCGCATCAAATGTAAATGACTATGTATGTTTGGTTAAGAAGCATGCCTTGCAATGTTTAAACATAGGCGCACTTAGAATTAGTCGAAGGTGCCACTGTGTGAAGGGGAAACCATGGTGCCTCGATTACTGGATACAATTATCCGATTTGAAACGATGATACTTTTGTTTCAAATCGTGCAATGCAGCGACAACTTATGACTGCTGCTGACGGCCTCACCATTTATGCTTGAAATGGGCGCGATGAGTGTAAACTATAGGCTACTGCACGTGCATCCGAATGCATTGTTGATGGCCCCAAATAGCAAAGTTAGAACCACATGAGATTGATAATCAATAAGCCTTTAGGATCATAAATGAATCAACCGGCCCCAATGAATTGGAACGAGCTTAAAACTGTCCAAGGACATTAATCGAATCAAACATTAAAATTTCGCATGCTTCATTTTCTGCTGTAGGTTAAATTTAAGTGATCTATGGGATTGGATGAGATAATTATGGACGAATATGGGTGACTTTCGAATACAGATAGGACAGTGCTAATAGGCCTATTCCTCGTAGACTGATCAGAAGAATGGAGAAGTAGATTATTGACATTTCGAATGCACGCCTTTATCAAAACATGCAGCCGGAATAGGTAGCGCATCCGCCAGCCACAACAGACCCAACACAGGAGATGTTTTGATAAAGGTATTAAGGAATGAAGGCAATTATTTTTTAACAAACACAACGTTTTGGTAAAGACATGTAGCCGAAATGTGAATCCATCTATCTCTCCATTCTTCTGATTATTCTTCGAGGAATAAGGCTTTTAGTACTGTCTTATCTATATGCATAGTGCTCTTCACAAATAAGCAGCAGATTACGTGAATTTGTAATACCATGAATTGATGCGGATGATTATCAAACATTTTGGCTGTCTTGGATCGGATCATATCGGATTTGAAATTCGAGATTTGGGAATAAAGGAAAACTTTTCGGCGTTCCAGTGAGGGGGCTAAAAGGCGGACGAGTTTCGTTTAAAAACGTTATGTTTGGATTCTTTTGGATCGTGGAAAATGAATGCATCAAAAGTTTATCTTATGGTTTAAGTGATAAGAATAATTTTGTACCACCGGACAAAAACATTTCAACTTATGAAGCACGTACCAACGCTCTTAGTCATATCGCATCACTTTTCTTAAAACTACCAGCCTAAAAGGGTATGTTTTAAATTTATAGATATTAAACCACGCATCGGATTTGACAAAACAACTCACTTAGAATTACTGGTGTGCCTTGTAAGTGGAAAATACTGCTCTATACAGCACAATTTTCTGTTTGATAAGTGTGTTTCTCAATGCGTCATGGTTTGATTACGTCATCATACGTTGCATAACATTGATTGCGAGCCAAATGACGGTCGTTATATCTAGAAATCGCACTCACAAACGCCACATATAAACACCTTCTCGACTATTTTTATTTTGCATTGATCGTCGCACCGCTTATGGAGTGACAAGATTTAAATGACGTCATCATCACGTCGTGAATGCCAAGATGACTTGAAATACTCTCCCCGATATACCATTCCCCGTTTTCGGGGGTGCGTAGCTCAGAAATTAGAGTGACTTAGGTCTTAAGATGGGCAGGATTGTGAACTGCACCGAAAGCTCTGCAAGCTGGGCACTTCAGCGCAAAACTACATGCAAATATGGAACACTTCCTGTAAGGTCGAAAGCCATCATGCTGACAGCAACTGCGATCCTGATATTTTTTAGCTCCACGAACGCTGCTTTCGCAGTGATGAACCCATAACCACGCCGCATACCTAGATTAACGGGCATGTTTTTCCGTAAAAACTGCGCCTCATCTTTATATTAGCCGTTTTCACGATGGATTACGTTGCAGAACTTAGGAACTGTTTGGAAAGGCCTCCCTGGATCAGCAGAGGCTAGGTACTCAACCGGATCAGGAGAGGCCAGGTACCCAACCGGGTTGGGAGAGGTCAGATACCAGAGCGGGTCAGGAAAGGTCAACCGCTACCACGGGACAGGAGTGGTCAGTCAGCTGGAAAGAGTGGCTCCTGTGTCAGTTCTGAAAAGATTAGCCTCTGCGCCAGCCCTGTAAAGACTGGCCGCTAGGCCAGCTATGATGCCGCCGGCCGCTACGCTGACCCTGGTGAGACTGGCCGCTGAGCCATCCCTAGTAAGACTGGGCGCTGCGCCAGCTCTGGTAAGACTGGCCGCTGGGCCAGCCCTGGTAAGACCGGCCGCTGGGCCAGCCCTAGTAAGACCGGCCGCTGCGCCAGCTCTGGTAAGACTGGCCGCTGGGCCAGCTGTGATGCTGCAGGCCGCTGCATTGGCTTGAGTCATGCCTGGTCTGATGCTTCCAGGCTGGTCCTGACCTAGTGATGCGAAACTCTGTAGGTAAATTAACAGCATTCAAGCCAGGTGCTGCGAAGTAAATGATAGTAACGATAACAACACCTTACTTAAGATCACTTCTCCTCCGATATTATATATTAGTTATCAAGTTGGCTAGGATGTAGGCAGTGGATCGTCAGTCAAGGGTTCATTAAACTAAGTGATGTAAGTTTGCATGTACGTTGAGAAAATAGCGTGGCGACATCATTGCCAGGGAGATGAAACAACTTCGAAGCGACTTAAAGAGACCCTTGCTTTCTATCCGATGACATAATAATGTTATCAGAAATATACTAGCATCAATATAGACCAAATTACTTCACCAGAGGAAAACATTTTGAACGTATCGTAACAGCGTGTAAGAACGAGAGAGAAAAACTCATATGTGAACACCATCTTCGGCAAAACATGGCTGACGATTTATGTGGTTGGATTGATTGTTTTATGCGGTTTTGTAATAACGGCTTAATACCTATGCGGTTTCGTAATAAAGACTTAACACCTCATCAATACACGTCCGTTTCTTTCCATCGAGTCGAATCTCAGATTAGATGTTAAATGCGTCCCACCGCAAGGGATAGTTCCGGTCGCTTGAATCCATGTTACGTTGGCATCTTGATATTGTTATATCCGATATCTGGCGTCTTCGCATTTTCATATGCAGTGTCCACAATGATTCCGACATTTTCGGCTCAGATGTGGTTTAAAATCGTAACGAATAAATGCTAATACAGTCGTTGTATTTCAACCGATACCAACAGGACTTAACAAGGGTGAATAAAGCTATCGATTTACAGGATTTGATGGGCAACAAATATTGGAATTTTGACCATCCGTTTGGTGAGGAATTTGCGACAATTGCAGCAACTTGCAACAGAATGTTCCAGTTAGACGATACGTAAAACTCAGCATTGGTCTGAATTGCTAGCGCTTGCAGCGTAAGTTTGTGTGGAGCACATGTCGAGGCATTCACATTTCGCTATATGAGCAAGTTGAGTTACACAATGATGCCAAACATGGTAGCTTTAATCAAGATAGATTTCAACAGATGACAAAAATATACTGAAATTTATGCTATGTCAGTGCTGACATCGCAGATCAGTGGTGATACAAAGCTCGTGCGATGAACCCCAGATCAGTGTTTATCACACCTTTTTTGTCAGCCAAAGTTTACTTCACGTACTGAGCAGTATACAATTTCAAATAATTAGACTTATTACTAATCATAAGAAGCATGGCTGGCCTCAGCACCTTGCGACAAACGTGATCAGTGCTACACGGTGTTTTAAAAATCGTGCCATTTGAGACGGATGGCCCCGCATGCTCGCAACGCGGCTGCGAGTCGAGTTCAGTGCAAAGCCGTAGGCTACCGTTGGTTTGTTTTTGTCGTGAGAAGCTTACTGGCTGGAAAGGCGTAGCTGATCGCCAGTTTTTTGGGGCGTTGTTTTATCTGTGCCCAGGCCCTATAACAACATATTGGGCGGCAGAACGTACCAAAACGTACTAGATCTTGAACTGGCACCGGCGTGGCGGTCCCATTTGCCAATTTGAATAAATGAATGTAGCAATAATTCAGCTTAGATAACATTTGATAAACACACAATCATTGGTTGATTACAATATGTAGTGATAAATTTGTAGATTAACATCCTTGAAAGTTCATTTTTTTTTACTAAAACTGGCCATGTTACAGTTTTGGTGCTCTATCGACGTAACACAAATTTCACTGACTCTGCTGGCAGCAACATTCAGGGCAGCATGGGCGCTGTGCGCCGTTGATCGCTCGTCAACCCCGGTGAACATCCGTCATTGACTATGTCACATCCCAACGTTTATGCAATCATGGTCCCTGAATTGTGTCCTTAAGTTGTTGTGTTCCGTGCTTGACGTCTTAACTGCATGCAGTCAATCATAATGTTTCCGTCTTTTTATCACAATGTCGATAATGCAACTGCATTCTTGTGAGTGCTGCACCTGTGGTCTGTGATCTCGGGTGCGAAATGGGTTGGGCCCTCATTTTATTCTCAACTCAACTCAACTGAACTCACTCAACTCAGGCCCCAGGGGGCCGAGCAGTGAAGACGACGCAACACACCCCTTTAAAAGACACCAACAGACAGGTTTGTTGGTATCTTCCCTTTTTCCAGGTTTTCTCAATGTCTTCCCAGATTTGACTCACTTTCTCCTCAAAGTCGTGGCTAGACCAAATATGTTTTTTCGGGGGGGGGGGGGGGGCTGGAGCCCCTGACAAAAAAGGAAACTGCACCCCTGCTAAATGCCA